CGCCAGCCAATAATTAATAAAAAATAAAGATATCCATGATAAGAACTTGATATCCATTTCAGTAGTGAAAACCTGTATGATTGACCATTTTTGAAATCTAATGCCACAGGTATGGTGCAGAATACTCCTGACAAGATTTTGAAAAATTGTGTCTTGGATCAATATTCCATCAATGCAAGTAGATATGATAAGTACGCAAATATCAAACAGCTATACTTCTATACTTAGGTAAAAGGCAGTAAAGTTAATTCAATGTTTTTTTTTAAATTCTTACACCAATGAAAATAGTTATTTTTTCACTTTGTCAAATATTTCATATTAATTACATCATCAAAGTGTAAAAGTAGTAAATCAAATTATCAAAGTAAAAAAGCAGTAGTTTCAAAAGTAGTGCTTTGAGTCTTGAATGATACAAGTACTGTATTTTTACCCTTTTATAACCCATTATGATGTTTACTTATTTAGTTTACTTTAACTAATAATTTTATTATTTGTGAAGAAGTATTTATGGTTATAAATAATTAATTACTTATGCTCTGAAAGAATAATTTTGAAAAATATTTTTATTTTACTTAACTGTAAGAAAACGAGCTGTATTTAGTGCATTGATATAATAATCTTTTTTTTTTTTTATTAAAGAGAACCGCATCAGCCAAATGGCTATTAGCGGCAGGATTTGAATATCTATAATTTGTTTAGTAAATTACAATCATGTAGGTACTTCATGAGGTTATTGACAATACATGAGGACCCAAGAATGTCAGTTAACGATAGATTGTCTATGCCAGCGGATATTCTGTAGATTTCTAGTAATGGACACTCGATCAGGATATGTTTCACAGTGAGTTTTAATTCACAGATGTCACATATGGGTTCTGGGTCTCCTATGATGAGGTACTCATGGGTGGCTCTAGTATGTCCCAAACGTAGGCGTGTGATCAGCGTCTGTTGTCTTCTATTGGTGGTGATGGGAGTCCATGGTCCTGGTTTTATCCTGTGCTCGAGCAACTTGGAGGGATAGTTCCGCCAATTGTTGTACCAAGCATCGATTATAGCATGCTTCAAGTGGTTGATTATATCGGAAACTGGGAGTGGGAGGTCGGTTGTAGTGTCCTGCTGTGCTGCTGATTTTGCAGTTCTATCTGCTGCTTCGTTGCCCGTGATGCCAACATGTGAAGGTGCCCGTAGGAGTATAATATTGCGATTTTGTGTTGCCAAGGTATGGAAGAGTTCTCTAATTTTGGCGGCTATTGGATTTTTGGTATATATTTGTTTAATAAGCGAAAGCGAACCTAGCGAGTCTGTCACAATTACCCATTTCGTGTTTCTACTATTGTTTATATATTGAAGAGCGTTCTGGATGGCGTGTAGTTCTCCTGTCAATATTGTTGCTGCGTCCGGTAATCTAATTGTTACAGTATCAGTAGGTGTGACGACGGCTGCTCCAATCTTCAAGTCCGTTGTTGAAGCATCCGTGTACAATATGTCATACTCAGGGTAGTTGTTTATCGTTTCCTGGAATTTTTGTACGAGCAAAGATGTGGGTGTTTCCTGTTTGTTATACTTTGTGAAATTCGTGTTAATTTCTGGTTGGTGTATAATCCATGGTGGAGTAGTAGAAGCATTCATTGACAGAACTATCGATGGAGTTTCAGATAAGTTCATTTGCCCCAGGATAGTTTGAGACCTGTTATAAAATGGGATTCCGCAAAGAGAATTCCGGTTTGCGATCGTTCTTACGGTTGGGTTTGGAGTTTGGAGAAAAGAATTAGGGTTGGTTTTCATTGCATATGCTATTGTGGAAATCTGCCGTCTTATGTATAGGGGTGCTTCACCTGATTCAATGTATAGGCTGTCGATTGGTGTTGTTCGGTATGCTCCTAGTATTAGGCGTAATGCCGAGTTGTGTAATGTATCTAATGGTTTGAGTACAGATGCTCTAGCTGATGCATATACTATACAGCCATAGTCTATTTTAGACCTTATAATGGAACAATAGATTTTCAGAAGCGTTTTGCCATCTGATCCCCATTTTTTGTTTGATAGGTATTTCAGCATATTTATTCCTGTTTGACTTGCTTGAATCAGGTATTTGATATGCTTCCTCCAATTAAGGCGTTCGTCGAATATGATTCCAAGGAATTTGATGTCTTCAGCGTATTCTAGCTTTTCATTGTGAAGCTTTAAGGTGGGTTTGATACAACCAACCTTTTTTGAAAATATTATGCATTTAGTTTTTTGAGGGGAAACGGTGAGACCCGTTGATTTGGACCATTTGGCTATGTTTGATATGGCTTTTTGTAGCAGGCTGGCGCTGGATTCAACATTTTTTCCTTTCACAAAAATGATCATATCATCAGCATATAACCGTGCTTGAACTGGCTTTTCAATGGATTGCAGAACATCGTTAACGGCTATGATAAAGAGCGTTGGACTGATTATCGAACCTTGAAGGATGCCATTCTGCTGGGGTCTACTTCGTGACAGGGTCCCATTTGCTCGTACTTGGAAGTTTCTGTTTGTTAGGAAATTTCTGATGTATGCTACTATATTTCCATTAAATCCCCATTCTCTAAGCTTCAGGATGATATTTTGTCTCCAGACTGTATCAAATGCTTCATTTATGTCCAGGTAAACTGCTAAACAGTGCTGTTTGTTTGCAAATGCTTCTTGTATATTAGTTTCTAGGTCTATGACGTTGTTCAAGGTAGACTTACCAGGACGGAATCCACACTGTTCAGATACTAGTTTATTTTTGGTTTCTAAACTCCACAACAGTCTGCGGTTTATTATTTTTTCCAGGAGTTTGCACATTGCACAGGTGTTAGGGATGGGCCTATAAGATTCTGGGAGCAACGGGGATTTGTTTGGTTTCAGGATCGGTATAGTTATAGATTGCCTCCATACATCAGGGAAAACATGCTGTGACCATATTAGGTTGAGTAATTTCAAAAGGTGCCTTTCCTCGGCAGGTGGGAGATGTTTCAAAAAGATAGATGGAATATCATCTGGTCCAGGAGAAGTGTCTTTCAGATCACTTAATGCACACTCTAATTCACTATCTGAGATAGCTATGTTTATTTGGTCAGAGTTGTTATCAATCTTCAATGGCATGTTTTCTGCTCGTGTTTTATGTGCCATGAATTCATGGTCATAGACTTCGTCACTGGAGTATTTATAGTATGTTGTACTGAGTGTTTCAGCTATAGCATTTTTATCCGAGTGGACGATGTTATCCTTTTTGAGACATTTAATGCTAAAATGTGATTTACCTCCAGACATACTTTTGATTTTCTTCCATACGACGGTTGATGGGGTTGAATTATTGATACTAGAGACAAACTTTTGCCATGATTCCCTTTGCCTGTTCTTTGTTGTCAATCGTGCACGTGCTCGTTTATGTCTAAGGTCTTCTAAGTTTTCAGGAGTGGTATGTTTTTTGAGTTTACTCAAGGCATGCTTTGTAGCTCGTATAGCTGCCTCACAATCTTCATTCCACCAAGGTACTGGATTTCTGGTTTTTAGGTGCTTAGTTTTTCCTATATATTTGTAGGCTGCCTCTATAATAATGTTGTTAAAGTTGTCCAAAGTATTGTTTATATTATTGGTTACTGTTGACTTATGTATGTTATCTTCTATGTGCTGTGTAAATTTGTGCCAATCCGCTTTATTATATCTCCATTTTTCTATTGGTGTTGTATCTGTCTCATCTTTTTCAGTATTTCTTATGAATATCGGGAGGTGATCGCTACCATGTAAATTGTCTGATACTGTCCAGCTAAGTTGGTTCAGAAGGCTGGGTGAGCACAAGCTGAGATCTATTGTTGAAAATTTCCGTGGCCATATCTAGTCTCGTGCTATTTCCATCATTTAGTAATAATTATCTTTTAAATGTATGTAACTACACAATTATTAAATTGAATTATTTGATGTTTAAAAGATTTACTTTTGTGTTATTTATGTGTATGAGTACATTATATTAAAATAAAATTCTGCATTATTGTGTTTTTTCTTTGAAATAACAATATAAATGGGTTATAAGAACCACAAAAAAAAAAGCAGTAAACTTGTTTTTGCAGAGTATAAAAGCAGTAAATCACATGTTACAGCATTTATGACAATCAAAGATGGAATGTCATTTATTTTAGGCCTCAATAGCAACTATGATCTGAAATCACATTTAGATGACTCTCTATAAAGTCATGCAACTTTGCAATATTCATTAATTTTTGTAGTGTTAATAATATTCATTTAGTTTAAAAGAATCCAGAATTTTAAACTCAATTTTGTCAAACTTTGATTTCTACACTTTACTGCCATTGACCTGAGTATGACAGCATACATATCTTGTACAGAGCCTACAGAATGCTATGATAGGATACAGATTGCCCTACTTTGAGGTGCTAAATTTCTGAAATTACTCATGGCAAAACTTTTGGCCTATGGAAACTTTTGTTCTATGTAACTACAGCATCCTTTTATAGATAAAAAAATAATGAAAGCCATTCTCCATAAAATTTCTACAGAGTCCTAGAGGATAAATAAAAAATGTCAATATCAGCAGAAATTAATTTGAACTCCCGTTATCTCAGTGAAAAGATTAAGTGCACAAACTTGATAGGTACACTTTTCAACGCAGAGATTAAACTCAATAAAACCATTTTAGCAAAATTTGCTTTCCAGACATAAAGCTAGGCATTTTTGGCAAGATTTGCAAGTCATTGAGAGAATATGTTTTGAAACAGCAAATTTTGGAGGGTTTAGAGAAGTTATTAACAGAAGACCATTTTATTAAATTTCATCAGTAGGATCTTCATACTAATATAACCTTTTTACGACTGACCTACACCATTTTTGACATGTGAAAAACAGCAGCATAAATCGCGATTTTTTTAAATGTATTTTGAAGCCATGTTATACTTCAGAAAATATTCACCTGCAGGGCTTTGCCACAATATACCTGCAGTACAAACAAAAATAACCAATTGAGTAGGATATACCTTTCAGCTTGTAAACATTTTCCAACTGCATACCCATAACAGAAACAAATTTGCCAATAGTGTCAGAGTACTTGTCCTTGTATAATGTGGATGGCTTTTTGAGGGTGGCCTTGCATATTGGGCAGTGTTTCAACATTTCTTTAGAAACTAATTCATGGTAGCAACTGTCACATAATTTATGGCAACAGTCCAATTCTACTGCTTCTTGTATTACATCCAGGCTGCAAATAAATGAAGTGAATATCAACAGACAAACATTGGTACATGGTACTTACCAAATGGGACATTTTAATAGTGTTTTCAGCTTATGAATAAGAGAAGCAAATCGTTTCAGTTTAGGGTCCTGTTTATTCATGACTACAAGTTTGTATCTTATAACATATATGTTTTTACAGGTGGTATAGGTTACACACCTCTAACATTATTTTACACGTTTAAAAGTACCGTAATAATTTGATCATTAACAATAAGCAGTTAATTTTGATTATTCTCACAGACACCTGTTGATTGAAAGTAGCCGCTAAATAAACAACAATCAATAGCAAGAACAGAATAATATAACCACATTTAAGAATGGCGGTAAAAAAACAAAACAAATGCGCAACAAGCTTACACAACAATCTAGTGATCATGCCACAAAACGACAAAACGACAAAACACATAAGACCACAAATCACACAAGACTGAAGAAGTGGGAGCTGCACATTAAACAATGGCAACACCGTTGACGTTTTGTCAGATGGTTGCGCCGCCTACTTACCTGGAGATCTGGAAGAACTATCGAAGGAATTCAAAGAAAGCGCCGGGAGATTAGGAATGCGCCGAGGATTTAGTTTGTTCACAATTTAAAATCTGTTGAAAGTGATATTTCCCATATTGAAATATTTTATGACCATAGATGCATAAAATACTCTCAATACAGGAAATACCTGATTCAGCAGTTTTGCTGGTAAAACCAATTTTAGGATAATAAAAATTAACTGCGTAATTAATAAAATATTTATTAAATAGTTAAATATATTAATAATAATAAGCAATAATTTATCATCACAGTACATTGACAATATATAAAGGTATTTTTAGATATCGGGAGCCTATCTATATTATTAAGTGAATAAGTGATTTTTCAAAAAAAAAATACAAATCATACATTAGTAGCATAAAAAACGATAAAAAGGGACCCTCAGTAATCAAAGGAAGTGTTTAGCAAGATGATGCAAGCACTACCTATTGTTAATTCATCATGAGGTATGATTATCACTGAAACGTAAACATTCATACTAAAACAACAAATAATAAATCTCTGTAGTTAAATAAATAACTGAAATAAAAATATAATCTGAGAAAACATTATTTTTTATTTTCTTCAAAGAAGGAATCAAAGTTAAAAATAAACAAGACATTCCTCCAAGCTCCTGATCTCTTTAACATTACAGGAAGTAACAAAATAAGTAATTATTCTTCGTCCAACTGCTCCCCTCCAAGGATGTTGCAACCATGAAACAAAAAAAATTGTTTAGATATAATATCTCAGTAGTATTTGGTTAATGAAAGTAAATAGAAAATTCAATGAATGAATACATAAAAAAGCATTACCTGACTTAAGCTGTCTTGAATTTCTTATTTGTTGATATATGACTTTTAGTAGTCTCACCACTCCATTAAAAATAATTTATCTTTACATATTTGTAAATTCCCAACCGAGAAGTTTTATCCAATTATAACTACCTTTTGCCACATCATGCTGCTGACAAAAGCTATAATGTTGAAGGATGCAGGAATATTTCCGTTTAAATTTAACTTCCAGTTGGTCTGTACCATGCTGCTCTAAAAATGCATACAGCTTTTCATCCAGAAGACCAATCAGGTTAATTAAATCTTCACTTGCATACTTCAATCGCTTTTCCTCATCATGCTCTTTAAACGTCACAAATAGATGTTTTTCAGTGACAACCAAAGACAATGACCTTGCAGACCTTGCACAGGATTCACAATTACTATTAATTTTGAGTCTGTCCAAAATGTACCCAGCCACATAACCATTTGAAGGATTCCATTCAACAGTCCATTATTTCCATGTCAGAGTCACTTAGAATCTCACGGACTAAATCAAGCGCTGTATCATTACTTTGATCATATTTATCCAAAAAGTCACTGATATCGACCAGTAGTATAAAAAAAATCGATTTCACAAATTACCTTTAGAAAAAGGTGTGCTGAAATTATTAATAACTACTATTTTTAAGGCTGCAACAACTGATGACAGGTGGGATTTGTATTGAAAATACCATGTTGTCTTACTTGACCAAATAAATTTTCCAGGGAATCTTGATTCAAATGTCTCAAACAAAGATATTTCAAGCCCTCCTCCTTAAGATCCCTCCATAGTGACATAACAGATCTAATTGTTATTTGCTAGCCTTCAACAAATTTGAAATAGTTTGATTTGTCAACCTCTGCGCTACCTTTACTATTTTGCATGTTGCTAAAATCTCATGAAAAAAAAAAGCTTCAAATGAAATATTGACGCATATCAATGGATAGAGGAAAGTCACCAAATATGGTTCTTTTAGGGATTTAAAAAAAACTCCATAGACATGAAAACAGTTTAATGTTATTTATTTATTTATTTTTTTATTACAAATTCAGAGTGTTAACAGTCGGAGCCAACACACACCCACTAGATTAAATTTCGAATGAACATATGCATATTTAAATTATTATAAATATAGTAAACTTATAAATTAAAGATCTATTGTAGAATTTATATACCTAGTTAAAATAATAAAAAACATGAAATTGGCTGTGGAAAATAACAAGCAGTTGGAGTAAATATGATCAATTCAAGAATTTTGATTTATGTTTGCGCTTAAAGCGAGCAATATTATGGCGGAAGATGTCTTCTTCACAAAACTGATTGTATGCCCTTTGTGCCCTTATCAATGGAGAATTAACATCTAGATTTGTGCGACAATATGGAAGGTTAAACAAATCATAGTGTGGTAATTCCTGTCTGGTGCATTAAAATTAACTGAAGAAAGTAAACACTACAGTCCCAGAGATTGTTGACTAGCTTGCAGATAACTAAAATGTCAGAAACTACTCTTCTATTAAATAGTGATAAAATATTGAACTTTTTCATTATTACATCATAGTTACTGTCTGTGATGGGAGTGCCACATTTGAAGGCGAATGTACGCAAAAACTTATTCTGAATTCTTTCTATACGATTGGAGTGAATATCAGAAAAGGGATTCCATATGGCAGATGCGAAAGATAACCTACTGCAAACGTAGGAGTAGTACAAGGAAGTCAGGGTAATTGGATTTTTGAAACTTTTACCGGTTCTTTTTATGAAGCCCAAGCACTTGTTGGATTCATTAATGGTTTTTTCAATATGATAGCTAATAGAAAGTTTATCATCGATATAGACACCTAAATATTTAGCAACACCCACCTGTGCCAAAGCAGTATTGTTTAATTTATATATGTATATACTCTACCTTGTTCAAGTTTTTAGTTAGGCGCATAGAATTACATTTATCTAAGTTTAAAAACATGCTATTGTTGTTTGAGTAATCAACTAGACGGTTAATATCTTCTTGAACATTTTTGCAGTCTTCAATACTCCGAACCGTAGAAAAAAGTTTCAAGTCATCCGCATATAGGAGGAATTTACAATTTCTTATATATTTATCGATATTATTTAAATATATTATGAAAAAAGCGGTCCCAGGTAACTTCCTTGTGGAAGTTCCGATGTTACAATAGAATCTTCAGACTCGTATCCATTTACAGTGATGATTTGTTGTCAGTTTGTTATGTACGAGGCTACCCATTGACGCAGTGAGTTATCCACACCCACTTCAGCGAGTCTATCCAACAATATGGAGTGATCTATCTTGTCATATGCCTTGCTGAAGTCGGTGTAGACAACATCAACTTGTCAGCCTTTGTATAAAGCATTACAGGAGTGGTTAACAAAAGATAGTAGATTAGTTTCAATTGAGCGCATAGGAAAGAAGCCATGCTGTTTATCAATGACGAAACGATGAACGGTCCCTTTTTTTATATCGAAGCAGCCGCGCAGGCAGAAGCCTAAATGCCGGAACACCGCGGCTGCTATGATGATCCCAAAGAAATTTTATTAATACGATTTTTGAACTGCCTAAGGTCAATAGAACTGGGAAAAGCTTCCTCTTGTAGATTGTTCCACAATCTCGACACCCTCGGGACAAAGGAGCGGTCGTACCACCCGGTTCTGGATGTACGAAGTTCGATACGGTTAGGATCATGGAAGAGAGCTCAGAGGAGCAAAGCCTGTTGGTGTAACGGTAGAAAAGAGCCAGATCGCCGACAGCCCGCCGGTGCGAAAGAGTCCCGAGACTGTCTATTAGAGAAGAGTCATCGATCAGTCGGACCGCCCTCCTCTGGACAGCATCGACCATGGATAATGTAGTCGGGGCGGCAACACCCCAAACGTGTGAGCAATACTCGAGGCTAGGCCTTATCTGGGCCTTGTATAGAGAGTGAGAAGGTCATGCGAGAAAAGTACTTCTTAGCCCTAAACAAATAGCCTAGCTTTTTTTCCAGCAGCTGCAGCTATTGACGAGATGTGTTCGTGCCAGATCAGGTCCTCGGTGGTGGAAGGCTACTGTGTGAGAAGTTCTTTTCAATCTGCTTGGCCAGCGTCCAGAAAGACCGACTGCCATTGCGCTGCAACATTACCCTGTGCCTAAATTTTATATCGTGCTGGTTTTTGGCATTGCGAACCGCTGCTTTATATTTGTTTCTGGACTCAACGTCGGCTTGTCTGTTCTCTACAGTGGGGTTTTGTAAGAATGTTCTGTGTGCCTTGATCTTCTGCTGGCGAGCAGCGTCATACGATTTGTTAAACCAGCCGTCGGACCCTGGTCTAGGCACTTTCACTGTGTGAGGGATGTATTCCTCCATTCCGACGTGGATAATTTCGGTTATCGAAGAACAGACAGCCTACGCATCCGCGTCAGTGAAACAGACATCTTTCCAAGGAAAGCTAGAGAAGAAATCTCTGAGCCCCTCCCAGTCGGCATGTCCGTAATGCCAAGTTTTGCGGCCTGTACGAGTTTCTGCTGCCACAGCGGGTTCTGACCGAAACCTAACCTCCATAACACCGCGCTCTGAGTTACCCAGGAGGGACAGGACAGCAGTGCTGTGAGGGACAGGATGCGTGGTCACAAAGAGACCCAGCAGGCTACTGGCGTGTGACGAGATGCGGGGGAAAAAAGTAGGACTCGTCACCAGCTGAGTCAGCCCTTGAGTAAGAGCGAACGCTTCGACTGCACGACCTGCTGCATCGGTCTTGTTTGAGCCCAACCAAAGCTCATTATGGGCATTGAAATCGCCGAGAAGAACTACCTCTGAAGCGGGATGATTGATGTTCAGGAAGTCGATCTGGACGGCGAGGTATTCGAGTAGGTCATCCCAGTTATGGTCCGAGGGAGAGCGATAAAGGCAGCAAATAAATTTGGGTGATGAGTTGAGGCGAAGTCCAAGAATGTCCTTCCGGTCTGATTCCAAAGAAACATCTCTGGAGCAGGAAAGACTGCTGCGGACAAAAGCCACAACTCCCCCGTTCTTTCTCAGATTGGAGTGCACCTCGTAGTTTGGGAAGTTAAGATGGTTAATCGGTGCAGAC